AAATCTTGTAATCTGCAAGTCTAAAATTATAAATAAAAATAACGTGTGAGGACCGCCTGTTCCTTCAAAAAAAAAAAATATTATTATTATTATCTAATAGAATATATTGTTTTAAAAATTTTTTGCAATATTATTTAATATTAATTATGATTATTGTAGGTAAGCTAGATTTAACTCATTATACTAATACATAAGAAGTAATATTTTTTCACAATGTATATCTTTTAATATACAAATCCATAAAAAAATGAATGATTGTTTACAAAAAAAAATTTTTAAATTTTATAAATAATAATACAATAAAAAAAGAAAAACATCATACAGTATAACAATATGGTTAAGAAAAAGAAGAAAATAATCTTAAACGTAAGATTTTTATATTTTAAATTGGTGCACTGTAGTTCTGATAAAAAGCGTACTAATTAATTTTTTATTTCATAGTACGTAAAGCTTCAAATATAATGATTTTTCTGGAATAACGTCTATAGGAGTTTTTAATCAAACGTGTGGGTTGGATAGAACCCTATAATTTTACAGTCGCATTTACACTTTGCACAATGCTAGCTTAAGATATAAATAAATATATATACATACGCCAGTAAAAGTTGATGATAATGAAGCTACTACTACAATTCTAGAATAAAATGTATTAAGGTATATGCTTTTTTTTAAAAAAAATAAAATTATGATTGCGAAGGAAATAGGTTTTATCCGAATCTTAAACGACAAAATTTTTTATAAGTGGTATGGATGAGTAACACCAAATTATGTTTCAAATCTTTAAAATTCTAATCGATTAGACCGACAAGTTCTTTTGTGAATTTAGCAATTTCAAAAGAAGCACTTGCCAACCGTTGCTTGGATGCCTTATTTGATAAAAAGTCCTCACTATTATTCATTATTGTTTCACGCATTTCGTCCAGCTTATCAACACTATTCTCCAGTTCTTTTAACACTGTTTCACCACGTACACGATAAGGAGCACCTGACGAAGAACCAAAAGAATCACGACATACGGCAATAACATTCAAAACTATCGTTGTGATTGTGTTGATGTTATCAGTAAGTTCGTTTCCATATGATTGATTTCGAATTGCAGCCAGAAGGGTTTGGATGGCTTGAACGATAGCTTCAGTTTGGCGCTCCAGAAAATCCTGGATAATTGAATTTTTTCTTAATAGAAAATTACATAAATAAGAATAATTCAAACAAGCAAACATACTTTTAATTCGTCTATATCGACGCCACTGCGTCCATTGGAATCCTCCACGTCTTTGGGTTCTGGATCATTGGTTCGGGGAGGTGGCGGAGATAATGGTTCCGAGGGAGTTTTGAAAGGTAAAGGAGGTTCGGGATTAATTTTATTTGCGTCACGTCCTCCGGTGCGCTTAAGTTTCACGAGTTTTACTAGATCTACAATCGACGCTGTTAAATGACTTGCCGCGGCATCCAATAAACTAACAGGAGATATGCCATAACCGGTGGCATGGTTTTTGGCAGCGGTCATAAGATTCGTTAGAGTAGCCGAAAGTTTGCTTTTTAAAGCATGAAGTTTATCTTTGTCTTCAGTTTTCATCAATGATGCTCTATTTTGCTCATATTCGTCAACATCTTCAGTTATGCTTTTACAAGCGATAACAATCGATTTCATGGCGATAAGAACATTGGCCGGCGCGTCAGACCTATAAACATCAAGAAGGTTGATGTGCATGCATGGTAACTATTAAATAGAAATCAAAATTAATAAGTAATCGCATTACCTTCCAGCTCTTAATAGATCGTCAATCGCTACTTGATACGCTACGATTTTAGATTCGACGATTGCGCCATCTGGCGTCGGAGCCAACGAGTTATCTTTAACAATATCTACTTTTGGTGCTTCTCTGAAGAAAGACGATGTCGCTAAATGGAACGAAGATTAATATTAATATTATAAAAATGATAGTACTCAATACTTGAAAATTTTTTGTGGTAAGAACCTTTCAAGTTTCTCAGTTCGATCTTTATCTTTTCGTATTTGCTCTTCCACTCATTAACTTCGGTAGTTAAATCTTTAATTCTGGTTGCATCTTGATCCTTCTCCGAGCACAACTCGTCATATTTCCCTGAAAGTGACTGAAAGCTTTCTAATATGGTCTCCACCTACAATGTAAAACAAGGAGATCAATGATAACGCACATAAATACATGGTTAACACAAAACTTACTTCTTGTTGTTGTTGATCACTTTCTTCTAATTTTTGTTCCAATTGTACCAATCTAGATGCCTGTTTTTCATTTAATTCCTTTTGCTCTTCTAATTGTTTTTCTAGTTCTTGTATTCTAGAATTGTTTGTAATAGATCCATTCTTTGCCTGTAATTTTGTGAAATTATCGAACATCAATAAAATCAATTTGGATCTCCCATGAAAGGTTACATTAAAAAATCGCGGAGGATTATCATTACCGATAACTCGGTTTCCAACTCTTTTATTCGTTTTTGAAGGGTCGCCACCCTTAGTTCATAATCTGATCTAATCTTGTCTATATCGGAATAACCCTACAAAAGATGACAATATTAGAAATAATCAGATAAAGAACTTGACTTTAAGAGTATTTTTAAAACATATACATCGATAACTCGTCCAGAGTTGGCTCCATTTTGTTTTTTATCAATCATATCACCAAGATCAGCCATTAAACTGTCAAGGGAGGCGAAATTAACAACATCGGATTTATTGCCTTTCTGGCTATTCATTGTGTCTCTGCTTCTGCTATCCGAACTGCTAATGCTGCTCGTACTCATTCCATTATATCGGCGCCCAAAATCTGATATCGAGGATGTGGAAGATTGAGTACGACTCCTGGGCGATACCGGCGATCCATAATCAGAAATTGATGGGAAATTGTTATTGTTTGTTGATGTACGCGGGCTTGAACTTTCGCCATTAATGGATGTGGCCGTATTTTCTGATCGAGTATTTTGTTTCTGAATGTGAAAGTCTACAGAAATAGTTTCTTGCTTTAAGGTACTAATTTCTGGAACAATGGTATTAGACTTTGGTGCTTGGCCCGAAGTAGAAACATTCTGTGATGAGTTATCGTTAACAGGCACCGCCGAGACCTAATTATAGATCCAAGATATATGCTAAAGTCAGAATACCGTTATATCAATAAATAATGACCGAGGCAGTTAACTTACAACCATATCTTTTAATTTGGGATAACGCCTTTCCAATTCATAGTAAACATCGCTTGCCAAATCCTTGAATCGACTTTTTGGCAACGTTGCTAACTTTTGTCGTGCCTGATTTCTTTTGGGGTGAAACTCCTCACGCAAGGGAAGGAAGGGTACTAAAATTATGAAAAGTGCAATCGTAAATAATGAAGAAGTTCTTTGACTGAGCGTTACTAATTCGTAACTTTATTATTTTCATATTTTTATTTGTAACCTTGGGTGGATGAAAATCAATATGCACTCGGGATCTTTTCTATAAAACCCATTGCGATAATTGATTTATTTATTTTGCTTATTCAAAAAAAGCTCTAATCTGAATTTAATGAGTTTCTGTACCTTCAACTGAATCCAACAGTCGTCTGGTCAACTCGTCATATACATCTGTAGACAACTCTTGAAATTGTTGCTTTGTGAGCTTAGACAATTTTTCTCTTGCATTTGTCCTTGAACTGTTGGGTTGCTCTACGAAAACAAGTAATTTAGATTAGAACAGCATTACGGGAAATTACTGATAAAAAAAGAGCTCAATCATTGCATTATATGATGTTCCCAAAAGATCGTCTATCACTAGCAAACTTGTAGAGTTACGATTATAATATGCCAAGGCATAACTCCACAAATCTAAGCCGAACTAAAACCTACCCTTGGCAAGATGCGTATCAAGGAAACTTTTCAAAGCCTCATAGTGAGTGATGGCAACGTCCATTATGCCTGCTATTTTACTTAAGTTTTTACCCAAGTTCTTTCTATGTCGAAATTTAAAGTAGAAGATGCAAGAGTAAAAGATATCAAACAAATTATCCCGTCAACGGGCGGAAGAAACTTTAAAGGTGTGAAGGGTTAATTTTGAGTTTTAACATAATATCAGTTATACTGCCTGAATTAGGTCTTGTACTACAAGAATGACACATAAAGGACCAAAAGTACATAGTTAGGAACATTTGATTATTGGTTCGACAAAGATTTTTCCTCCACGTTTGACACGACGTCGATAAACAAAGGGTTAAACCAAGTTTGCCGAAATGAAATCCGGAAAATCCGTGAATATCTTTAACTACTATTTAGCACTAGTAATAGTTTCGATGTTTATACGTAATAAATTATAAAGAGCGAGGCTTTCGACCATCTATCTAATATTATCAATCAAGGGGAATGTTCTTTAAATTTTTGTGTGACCATGCAGACAAAATGGTGCATATAAAATATCCGTCAATGAAATGTCACGCGACGATCATGATAAAAAATAAAGATCTTATATTTGAAAAGTTCTTTTTTTTTTTTTTGAATTACTTGTTTATTAAAGTTGCTTGTCTATTAAATAAACATTACATATGAAGAAAAGACTAACAAAGACATGAATAGACAATGTGAATTCTTTATAAAAAGACATTGAAATTCTTTTATTTTCTATAATTAAATTATTTTAATATTTTATTTTTTTAAAATAAGAAAATATATTTTTAAATTTTATTAATATACAATATATTGTTGTTGTTTTTTTATAGTAGAATGAGCAGTAGATACCAATCTTTTATTGTATATAGCATATGATATATACAGTACAATATACAAATATATTATATAAAATATATAAAATATTATTTGTAATATTAGACTACAACTTAATGCCTATTATAACTACTGTTTTATTTCAATATTCAGGATCTCTAACATCTATAATATTGACTTTTATGGTACAAGAAATGAATTTATAGAGGGTAAAAATTCTACAACTAGTTTAAAATATATTTTAAATTCAATCCTTATATAGAAAAATCTTAATTATAAAAATTGATTCAAATATTTCTGTCATCTTATTATTTGAATCTTAAATTATATCTTATATATAAAGAGTTTATTTTATATAAGATATAAGTTTCTTATATCTGCAACTAGTAAATTATTTAAGCTTTGTATTAGATTGAAATAATTTAGATTAAACTCTAATAATTAAGAAATTATATTAATCAGAATTAATTATAATTCTAAATATCAATAAATATTATTATTGATTTATTAATTTCAATTTCAATATTAATTAAGTTTAAATATTGAATTGAAATTTTCAATAAAGTATTAATTGATAAAATATTAATTAATAATATATTAATTAATTTTAGTATATTTCAAAATAATATTAAATATTAAATAAAATTTTTAATAAAAGCTACTGTATATCAAATTATAATATATAAATATAATATTAAAAATTATTTTATTGTTGTTAACTATTTTTTTTAAAATGAAAAAATTCAATACTTATATTGAGTTTTTAGAAAAAACCATTTTATAAATTTTGAATATAAAAAATTTCAAAATAATTTTGATGGTAATAAAATTTTAGATACTAAAATAGTCAATATTTCAATAAATAACAGTTTTTAAAAAAAAATATTAAAGTTACCCATTTTACTTATAATAAAAATATACAAAAATTTTAATACAATTATTATAATCAATTTATTTAATCAAATAAAAACAGTACTATTAAATATATTTTTAATTTTTTTTATTATTAAATATTCACATATCTAATTTATAATCAGTATATTAATAATCATTTATATTTATAAATTAATTATAACTTATTATTTATTGATCTAACTATATTATCTTATATCTTATAAATAGATTTATATGTTTGTAGAAATTCAAAAATATAAAAATTTTATCTTTAATTTTAAATTATTTAATTTTGTTTCCAAATTAGGAATAAAAAAGTAATATACTAATTAAGTTTTTACCTAAACATTTTATTATTTTATATATTTGGCTTATATAGTCATAGAATTAGAAATTGATTTATATATTTCTTAATAAATATTTTAAATAAATTCTTTAGTTGATATAAATTATCAAATTTAAAAGTTTAATAATCAAATAATACATGGTTTCTAAATCTTTTGATAGATACTCTAAAAGTATTTAATTAGTTTAAGCTATTAATATTTTATTTAATTTCAAATTAAAAAATATTGATTTATTTTTAAACATATAATATATATAATTTTTAATAATTTCTTATAAAATAAATTATAATTATTAATCTTTTTTTTATAAGTATTAATTCTTTTAATTTTAAAAATATAATATTTATTTTATAAAATGAAGATCTGGTTTTTTAACTAATATATTTAAAAATAATATAATAATATTCTTTAATAAAAATAAAATAAAAATACAATTTTTATAAATAATTATATTATAATTATAATTATATTTTTTATAAAAAATATCAAATAAAATTTCTTTTACTGTTGATACTTGAACATTATCAAATAATTTGTCTTTTTTAAGAATTATAATATACTGGATTTTTGAGAATTGAAAATTAAAAAATCCATTTTTGAATTTTATTAAACTTGAAAGACAATATTTAAATAATAATATTATTAAAAAATTTTTAAAAAGTTTTAATAAATATAATCTTTTATTTTATTTTTATTTTTTGAAGAAACAGATGATTTTCATTATACATATTGCTGAAATTCATAGATCCTTGATGCAATTGATGCAATTATTTAATGCAATTAATTGAGACACTATTAAAACATATAAATAATTGAGTCATGATGCAATTATTTTTAAGGATTTTGAGAATTGAATCAACAGCAAAATAATTTATACCATATATATAATCCTCATACTCTATTTTTATTTATGTTTTTAGACTTGTAGAATAAGATTTATAAATCCATAATATAATATATGTTTCTTTTTATTAGAAAAATTAAACATCAGGCTTAACAAATATAGCCATTTCACCTAAGCTTCTTAATACTACCTAAGAATATAAAAAATAAATTTTAAAATCTATATTATATCTTAAATGACATCTGGTTATCTAAAAAATTTTGATTATTTAATCACATAAAAATGTTACAGTCACTATATACAGGTTGATCTCCAAGTTATAACTAGGATTGATATATTTACTTTTCAAGTATGACTTAATATACAATAATTAAAGAATGTGTTTTACTTTAAACTTCATTTGAATAACTTGCTCAAACAGTTAAATAGCCACTATTCCAACTTGAATATTCAGTAAAGATTGATCTTTTATTTGATCACCTAGTATTTAACCTTTTCTATTCTTCTAGAATTGTAAAAAGTTACAGATTACCCAAACCTGTGGCAATTGCCTATACTTGTGACAAGTAGAGAAGAGAATAATTACTTTTTATAAAAAGTTTTATATACTATTACACTTGATTTTTGTCCAAGATCTTTACTATCTCTTGTTTAATTTTTACTAGCATTAATCCTTAAAATATTAGTTATTTTAGAATAGTCTTGTATTATAGATCTGTTACTGTACTTTTAACATTTATTGTATCTATTGCACCTTTACCATTTTTAGAATATTTTTATTTTATTTTATCTTTATCTTCTATATTATCTTCATAAAATATTTATCTATGTAAATATTACCACTGTTGAATATTTTGATAAAGATAGTATTTATATTTTAGTTATATCTTTACCATAACATATATTTATTATATACAAAAATATTATAACTTAAACATATATATAAAGGCTTCAATTTTGCCTAGAAATTGATAGGCTTAAATATATATTTTATCAAATAAATATTTTGACTTTTACAAAACAAATTACTATTGCCTCTTATACCTAACCTTATATATCTCAGAATTGTACTAATTTGTATATCTTTAGAAACTTTAGCATATCACATTGGCCCTGTCCATTTAAAGTGTCTCCCTGCTACTAGTTCTTTGTCTCTATCTTTTTCTTAAGATAGAAACAATATATGACAATATATAGCCATACCATTTAAGTGTCTGGATAAGATTCAATCCAAATATAAGAAAAAAAAAAAAAAGAATTGTTTAAATATATGGTAGTTGTTGTTAAAAAAATTGTTAAATATAATAGAATTGGAATTTCTTATTAATGCTATTACCTAACCTTATACAATAAATCTATATTATCAAAAGATAAACAAAAAACTTGTATTGTTGTTATTAGCTCTACTTGTAGAGTAACTAGAATCTTTAGTTATTATGTATTATCTTATTAGACTCTTCAATTACCAGTATAACGCCTGTACCTTGTTACAAGATATATTAGTATTAGCTGCCATATCAGTCTGAATACTATAGGCACAACTTCTTGAAGATTCAAATGATAATGGTTGTACAACAGTTTCTTAGATATATCTAGTCTTGTTCATCAATTAGTAAACAATACTGAATTTGGTAATAATGACTAAGTTGATCTTTTGAAGAAGTAAACTTTCTATTCTTTTTTTGAGAATTGTAAAAAAAAATTTTTTTTCAAAGTCCACATCTTAAGAGAAATTGCTACTTTTTAATGATTCTTGAAAAAAAAAAATCTGCTAGTCAGAAGAGTGATAAAATGAAACAATATTTCAAAAAAAAGAAAAGGCCTAGAGAGAAAAACTTTCAAGGAAAAGAAAAAATGCAACTTTAGCAAAGAAAGAAAAAAGAGAAAGAAAAGATAATAAATTGAAGAAAAATGGAAAAGATAAAAAAACAGATAAAAAAGAAGAGATGAAAAAAAAAGTAAACTAAAAAAGTTTCTTAAAAAAAATTTTTTTAAACATTTGAAGAAGTGAGAAAGAGTTTTTTTTTTTTAATAAATATAATCTTTTAAATAAAATAAGTTATATTTTATATTTAAATAAACAAATATATTTACTAGAGCTTTGAAAAGTAC